AAATAGTAGATTACTCTGTAATTTCCCTTCTCAACTCTCAACCTTCTTGTTTGAAGGCGTAGGGTTGTAAAGATTGTTTAATTTCATTAAAATCATGAATCAATCACTGTTAAACCACCACTGAAAACCTGGAGGCACTACATGGGCGTTTCGTCCTGGAATAAGACTCCTCGACGGTGCGCATTCAAGGCCCTGCTCACAGGGATCGAACACAAAGCCTTCAGTCTTGTGCGGGCACACTTAACCTCTAAACCACTAATCCGGCATCCAAGTGTGTTTATGTCTAACTATAATCACTTTACAGACTGAGTAACCATCTTCCGCTCTCTTGGGTGGATAACTGCTTCATACTCAACAGGGTTAAACTTCACTAGTTGACAGCTTCTCATCAGAACTTCTGAAATTTCCTCTCGAACCTAGTCACTAGTGACCATATGATAATTGTCGATGTAGGGTTGTGATTTTGGTTAGCGTTTTTTTAGCGAGTTAGTTTTCTACGGGATGGGGACGCTAACCCCATGCCCAACCCTCCTCCTTTATCCGGGCTTGGGACCGGCAGTAGCCCCCGGAGGGACTCCAGGCGGAGTTGTAGATACTGTTAAATTCCATTGAAATCCTGAACCAACTTTTATTATTTTTTTTATTTTAAATGCGTTAGAAAAATACTCGTTTTCAACGACCAAACTAACTCTCAGTTGATTTCCTCTTTCTATACAATTGTAAATAGTGTTAATTTGAAATAATTTACCTGATCATACAATAGTCTATATCGATAGGTCTTTCTACGTTTGCCTGGATTTCAGGATGATGTAGTCATTGTGACAGCCACAAAAAATTGAGAACATACATGTTCAAGCGAATTTCTATTACTTTTCAAAAGAACAATATAAATACATTTGAAAAGCTAAAGGTTTATCTCATATTTTCAATATATTTCTAGTTGTCCACACATTAAGTTATCGATGAACCAACTTCAGGCGCTACTCAACTTAACAGATACAAATCCAACTACTGGTTAGTGTAAATAAAGCATTAAAATCTGTATATTCAGATGTAGTCTTGATTTGTTTCTGGTGTATAATAAACCTTCATCCTAAGCCTTTACTTTTTTTCTTACATTGATCCATATGGAATTTCTGTCCAGTTATAACCATTTTTTTCACTTCATCAGTATACGCACTCACTGTTACACAATAGTAAGTGTCATGATTTACTCTGGAAAGACTGGATGAATACAGTTGGAAATTTAATGAATATATATCACATCCAATACAAATTCTATCCATACTACTATTTAAAAATCATTGATGTAAGCTTGAAACTTCTCAAGATTTAGAAACATGGTAATTTGGTATGTGCTGCTTATGCTGCTGACAGATATAAGTAGTATGTAGCAGCAATCGTAAGTGGAATGCCTGTCAGGAGAATATTGGATTGAAGAGAACAAGAAAAGAATCAGAAATCGGTTGGAATAACAACAGAATTGGAAGAATCTTGAAGCATGTAAAGGACAACTGAAGGAAGATGTGAAAATAATGTATTTAATGTATGATTATCATATTTTATGAAATCACTATTTAATTCCGCATTTTACCAATAAATTAGTTATCCCCACATGATTTTTCGTTCACATTAGTATCCGTAACTTCTTTTAAAATATAATCTTAAAATTAGACTAATCAGATGTAAACACTTCCATTAAATCAGATATTGGATATTTTGGTTGATAGTCATTTTTTCAGGAATTAAGAAGGGACTTGGTGGGATTTTATTCGTTCCAGCTTGGCACAGAATCGGAAACAAAATTTTTATATCTTACAATTAACACAATATCTTTAAATCAGTCAGTTAGAATCCAACTCTCCAGATGGTTAACTTCAATCCACTAATCCTTAATTTTCAATACTTTTACAATTCATACCAATTTTATGGTTTATATCATGGAGTGACCTCACTTAGACAACCAATGAGAACTAGGAAGCACTGGACAGCTGTTTTGTCCAAGTACGAGACTCCTACCACAGATCGAACCTACGACCTTCAGGTCTTGTCTCGAGCTATTAAGCTTCAAACAACTAGGTCGGTATATAGTGGTTTATATTTCTGACTTCAGTCAGTTCGTCAGATTGATAAGCGATCTTACAGTGGTACTGATAAGCAACCGCCTCACATCCGATATGGATGAAGTCCACTACGTTTCGTGAAAGTGCCTCTCAAAACTAGTTACCATTGAGCACATGATTATAATTGGTATGTGAATTAATGGAAGTTAGGCACGAAAACTATTGGATGAGAGCTCAATGGTCTAAGTGTATGGCTCCCTGATTCTGCGTTTCTTCCTCTATGAAAACGTGAATACACATTGTCGAGGAGTTCCATACCAAAAGGAAGTAGCCCCTCAGTGGTCCCGGTTTTTAATGATTATCTAAGAATTGTTCGTAATATAAACTAAATAATCTAAAATCACTATGGGGATTCGTAGAGATCGTAGTATTTTAATAGTTGAATTCACAAGTCAATCTAAGCTAGACCACCATTAAAAACCTGAAAGCACTGGACGGCCATTGAATGCTGGCTCAATGTTCTGGAGGTTAAGCGTTCGAGAGCGAAATCGAAGATGTCGGGTTCGAGTCCTATGTGTGGGATCATAGATTTGCACTGCTGAGCAGTTTCATACTATGATGAAACGGCCATTCAGTACTTCTAGGTTTTCAGTAGTGGTCTAGCTCAGATTGATTAGGGAATTCAACCGTTAAATTACTACGATCTCCACAAACCCCTTATACCAATAATGCTTGCTTGTTAAAACGTTTCCAATTGCAATCATCTTAATATTTAATTATTTGTTATACCCCGATAAGAATAATGGGTGGTAATTTTTAAGATCTATTTGTTGACCAATATTTTACCGTATAATTATTGTTAATTAACTAAACTATTCTTATCGATTAAATGTTTAAAAAAACTTCCATGGCAATATCGATTATATGGATATAATTGATATATATACGTTTTGAATTGTGTTTGTTCGTTTCTGGCTGTTTGCAAAATATACTTTCTCATTTGAAGCTTGGACTTCTCCCTCTAGTTAGCGGGGCTGGGACGCATCAAGTAGCTAGCTTACTGGTCTTTGGTCACTGAGTCTTTGTTCTCGGTCGCAGACTAAGTGAACTTGTGATAGCTTCAAACCTAGCATTATTATTGTACAGTAATTATAATTCATCTTTATCCTTAACTATACTTGATAAATCAAGGAATAATACAGAAAAGTGCAAATTATAATAAACGAAAATTCAATGCATTGTCAATATGATTTATTCCCTGAATCTCTACTACGAGTTTAGTTGATTATACCTTGAATTCAGTATTTTGCAATACTATCGTTATTGTTATTGTTGTTATGCATTTTAAAAAACAAGATCGTAATAAAATTTAATTATCATTATACAAGTATTCACTAAGTCCACCATTTTAATACATTAATCACTATGATTATGGTGCAAGTACTTTAATGGTCGAAACATCAATTTTAATAATGATGCTTTCTAATATTATTAGTACGTAACAATTTTTATGATAAGAAAGCCTTTGAGATTCATTTTAACTTTTAGACAAATAAATTGGTATAACCTTTGCAGTGGTTGTATCACAAATATATTTGCCCTTGTCAAGCATTTACTTGTAAACTTACTCATTTTTCTTATAAATGTACGTAGTAATATGGTAGGGAACAGAACGCGGGTGGGGACAATCGAACTATATTTAGCATAGAAATTACGGAGTGACTTGGTAAAATAGAAAAACCATATAGTAAATCCTTAATTTGCAAAATATTAATGCATCATATCAACCTGGACTGTTTCTGTTGCAAACATCAATCCACTGTCTCACATTTCAATGTTCATGCGTTTTCTTACAAATTGCATTGTGTTGTCGCTCTTCCTTTCTTGATCTTCCCCCATATTCTGCCGCCAGACATTGCGTTATTAACTCGCGTCATATACTACTTATATCAATATAAGTAGCACGCACCACAATATGTGTACGTCTGTCGCCTTCTTGTAATTCATGTGTGACTTGTAAAAACTGTGTGACCTTGTTATTCATCGAGTAGTTGTATTACTAAACTTCAATTACTGCATCATCCATTTGTTTGTCTGATATCCAATATGAGAACGCATAAAATATACATATCGTAGATACAGTTCGTATTCAACTCTAATTATCTACATTGTTTCACTGTTGTTCGTTAATAGGATGTATACAAAATAAATAGAATATGCATTTCGTTACCGTCAATATAGTTCAGCGATTACGGAGTCGACATTAAAAGTATATGTAATAGGTATTGAACCAGTTAGCTTAACAAAAAAATGGTCATCTATCAGAGTTAGAGAATTCTAAAAGAAATCACAAATAATATGTACAGTTCAGTACGGTAGGGAACTTTTTTTGCAATTTAAATTTCTAAATGGCTACACCTGTTCTTTTAGGTCATATTAGTATATGATCATATATTCCTTCTCTAACACGTTAACCATTCAATATCATGATAATGATGACATTGAAATGTACTTTCGAATACCAACAACAGTATAATACAAACCCTTAAGAATAAAATTCATACCTATTAACTAAATTATTAGCTATCTAGACTCAATAGTTCATTGGATAAATCGTTGGTATATGGAGCTATAGCTACTGGGTTCAAATCTCATTATGAACATCAACATTGAGATCGACGAACACTAAACTGACGAGTTTTAAACAGGACGAAATTTATGTCTATTTCCGTGCTCATCACAGACAACACATATTAAGGCTTACAACAAAAAGGTCATACCGCAACAATCTTCATACAATAAAATAATAGTATAGGGTTTCTCACTTGCTCTGCTACACTTGTAACGTACGTAATTAGGAAAATATCAAAGACCAGAACAATACACCTAGATCAACATCCTGTCAATAAATTTATGAAAATAAATCGACAATCGTTTGTCGAAAATGAGCAATAACATTGATTTATTTACAGCATATATATATATATACATATGACTTGGGCATCGATAATAGTTTTCGACATTTTCCACAAAACTGTACAAAATGAATCAGAGATTATATTCTCTTATTTTCAACCTTAGTTTATTGTCAAGTAACAAAAATTAAAAAAATGAATAAATAGTTCAATCATTAATATCAAAATTAAATGAAATGATGGTCTTTTGTTTTTGTTTTTCTTAACTATACATATAAGGCGCAAAAAAGTGACTTGATGTTATGTATTGAAACAGTAGAATATATTCAACGTTGAAAATTTGTCGACATTGCACTGAATTTGATCAAATTATTATTACTATTACCACTTCGATTACTATTACTATCAGCATGGATAGTAATATTTTTAGTCGTTTTAATATGACTGTTATTATTTTTATTATGTTTTAATGACTTCAACTGATTAACTTTATTCGTTTGACTGAGTGGTCTTGTAATAGAATTAATAGATAGTTTATTAATATCTGGCATTGAGCATTGATCCTTTTGTTTTATATATTGATGTTGATAATGAATTAAATTGCCAATAAATGAATTCTTTGAATGATTATAAATACTTTTAATAGTTAATGCATTTTTCTCATTCATATCTGATTGTATAGAATGATGTTTCATGTTTAATTTTGTTTTATTTAATGGACAATTATTATTTATATTAATATGTTGATGAATTTGTTTACCATATACAAATATTGTTTGATTTTCTTCTTTAGAATGATTTGATAAATTTATATGATCATTCATTGTTATACTACTTATTAATGACTTTTTATTGATTATTTCTGGAAGTGTCATTTCACAAATTGGATTATTGATTTTATCAATAAATTGATGATACCAATTTGATGATTGTATCATTCCACAATTAATTATATTAGATAATTCTATTTCTTTATAAAAATCTAAAATTCTATCTCTTTCTTCTATTGTAATTTGTATACCATCAATAATTTGTAATTTTGGTATATAATAAATTAATATTAAACGATGAATTTGTCTTGTTGTAATTGGATTATCAATTAATGAAATTTCATATAAATTTGGTTGATTTTTAGCAAAATTTTCTAAATCATTAAAATTAGTTAATTTATTGGCGCCAACATATAAACGTTTTAAATTTTCTAGTTTACTTAATTGATTTAATTCATTTAATAAATTATTTTCTAAATGTATTTCATTCAATGTCCAATTATATAAAAATGTTAAATCATTTATAAATTTAATTTTATTATTATCTAATACTAATTCTTTTAATTGATTAAGACCTTCTATACCATTCAATGTAATTAATTCATTATTTTGTAAAAATAATGTTTGTAAATTAGACATACGATGAAATTGTAATTCTTTTAATGAATGTATATTATTATGAGCTAGATGTAATACATTTAAATAAGGATAAATTGGTTGTTTTGATTTATATAAATTAATAAAATGTAATTCAATTGGATTAATTTTTTGATTATGATTATGATTATGATGATCATTGATAGCTAATGTATAAATATAATTTGAAAATAAACTTTCTATATTATTATCATTTAAACATATAATTTGTAAATTTTTAAAAAATAATAAACCGCCAAATGATTTTAAATAATTTCTTTCTAAATTAATACATTTTAAATGTATTAATTGATTTGGATCAATATAATCAATTTTATATAACATACATTTAGATAAATTTAATTCAACAATATTAATAAATTGATCATGATTTAAATAATTTAATAAATATTCATAAGATAAATGACCATCATATAATTCATTAGATTTTATTAAATCATTCATTGTAATGATATAACCATCAATTGATTTAATTGATTTTAAATAATAAATTAATTGATAAAAATAATTATTATTGATTAAATCACATAATGGATTCCCATATAATTCTAAAATATTTAAATGTAATAAATGTTTTAAATATAAAATATTAATAAAATGTTTTAATTGATTATTACCAAGATATAATTCAATTAATTGTTGACAATAATCAATACCATCAATATTATCAATTTGATTATTATTTAAATTTAATTTCGATAAATTCAATAATGATTGAAATTGTAATTTATTGATTTTTTTAATTTTATTATTACTTAATAATAATGATTGAAGTTTTATTAAATGATCAATATTATCGATCGATTCAATTAAATTATATTCTATTGATAATTCAATTAAATTATTACAATGAGTTAAACCTTCAATTTTTTTAATAAAATTATAATTTAATGAAAGATATTTTAAATTTGTTAAATGAGTTAAATTTTCAATTTTATATAGATTTAATGATTGTAAACATAATGATGTTATCAAATGAAAATGATTTAATTTATTCATAGATTGAATTGTATTATTATAGAAATATTGATTATAATGATGATAATAAGCAATAGGGAATATCGTTAAATTTTGATCAAAATCATTATTATTGCATTGAATATCATTCTTATATACATTTTCAATCATATTTGATGTGATTATAGATGAATTGTATAATTCATTAGCTAATTGAATATCATCATTATTAATTAATTGAAAATTAAAGAATTTAATTGTAGGTAATTTATAAAGTGTATACATTTTTATGAATTTATCATTAATCCATGGATTATAACGCCATGATAATTTTTCTAATTTTGGTGTATTTAATAATAAAATAGATACATTCTCAATAATACATGTTAATTGATTATAATCAACTTGAAGTTCAATAAGATTAGGCATATATCCTAATGATTCTAATGAATTTAATTGATTATGATTAATAATTAAAGTCATTAAATTAATATTATTATTATTATTACATGGAATAAATGATAGATTATCTAATTGACAATGAGTTATACTTATATAAGTAAGATTAAAAAAATTAAAAAATTGTAATTTTTTTGTAATTTTACTATTGATTATCAATAAATGAGTTTGATCTAAATAAAAATTCATTGAATTATGTAATAATTCATCATCATTATTTAAAATTTCATTTAAATGATCTAAATGATTATGATCATCCATTGATGAGAATACAGAGATTGTTTTGATAAAATTTTGATCCTGTTTTATTTCTTCATCAAATTTGTCAAAATGAGTAGTGAATTCAAAATTAGTTTCTATATTGAATGAATCAAATATAGAATTAGATTGATTATTTTTTAATATATATTCTAATTCTACAATATATTCTGGATAAAGTAATTTATTTTGAAGGTGATCAGGTTTTTTAATTTGTGAAAAACAAGAACAATTTGATTGATTTTCATAAAATAAAATATTTTCTACAGATAGTTGATCTTCTTGATTATCATTATTATTATTATTATTGTTGTTACTAAGGTTAGGATGAGTTAACTTAGATACTTTCATTAATAGTAAACGTGTGACATGATCATAAGGATTGAAATTACCTTCAGAATAATATTGATTTATAACTTGGAAATTTTTTTTATCTGCTATATTTAAATTATTTGTCAATTTATATTGATTATTGATTTGTAAACCATTACGAATAATATTCATGTATAATTTTAATTCATCGATTTTTTCAGGACATACAATAAATAAATAATCAGAAAATGTTGAATATTTAATCGATTGATTATTGATTGATGAGTTCAAATTCTTCGTAGAACTCTTATTATTATTATCATTTTCATTAAATATTCTATTATTGATTTTATATAAATGTAAAATTTTAATTCCATTGATTATTGATCCATTCATATGATGATAACAAAATCTAGAATTAAGAAATTCATTACAATCAATAAATAAATGATCATTATTATTGATCTCTTTTATTTCTATATAACCAAACATTTGTAATTCTAAATCATAAATATGTTGACGAAAATGTATATGTTCTTTTAATCTATTACATAATAGATTATATTTGCATTGATATTTATCATGAATATTTTCCCAATAATTGATTTTTTGATTTAATTGATCAATTCGATTGATTAAAATGGAATGATCACACATAGTATTGATGTTTTCTTGTTTCTTTATTGCATTCTGTAATAATCTTATTGCTTTATCTATATATTGAATATGGATATAAATTTTATTCTGTAATTGATTAAATAATAATTTTAATGAATTTAATTTTTTTTCAATAATTGATTGATCATGTTCATATTTCATCATATAATAATATTTCTTATGTTGTATCATTGTTTTAATGGTATCTTTTAAATCAATATAATCAATATAAATATGATCAATATAAGATAATTGAGGTAATTGATTAATTAATATCATTGGTAAATTCACATTATAACATAATGGATTTTTGTTATATTCTGATTCATTAATATTTATTTTAGTTAAATAAGGTAATTTATTTAATAATAATAAATCATTAATATTCCATAATTGATTACCAGATAATGAAATTTCTATTAATTGTTGATTAAATAATAAATTTTCATTTAAATTTATAATTAAATTACCAGATAAATTTAATTGTTTTAATAATTTTAAATGATTTAAACCTTCAATCATATAAATTTGATTATTATTTAACCATAAATATTCAAGTTGTTGATTATTTGTTAAATTTTCAATTTTTTTAATATTATTATCATATAAATATAATTCAATTAATTGTTTACATGAATTTAAATTTTCAATTTTTTCAATAAAACATTCACATAACCATAATTTTTTTAAATTTGGACATGTTTCTAATTTAGTTATTTTAGTAATATTTTGTGATATGATATATAATTCAGTAAGAAATGAAAAATTTTGTAATGATATACATTTTTTAAAATTATTAAAAAATAAAAATAATTTTTGATTTAAAAAATGTTCATCATGATTTAAATGTTCATATTGTATACCATTAAGAAAACATATTTCATGTAGAATATTTAAAGATTCAAGATCCATTGAATATGTAATTTAATTTTATTTTGTTTTGTTTTGTTTTAATTATGATTAGAAAATATCATGAAACATTTGAAATTGGTTTCATGACTATTAACTATTTATTGTTTTGCTTCTCATTGTTGTTGATAATCATTCAAATGAATATGAATTAGATGACTATGTATCTTTAGAGTTTGTTATTGGAAGAAGATATGCTAAAACAAAAATAATAATAATAATAACAATTAGACAAAAAGGGATTATCATGAATGAAACTTTGTAAGATATATTGTTATATAATAAATAATTTATTCTATTTAGACTCAATTTATTAGGGTATAGTGTTGAAATTTTTCCTAATCTGAGCATAATTATGATTAGGAACCAAGAGATATTTCAATATTCAAAGACTAACATTATAGCTCCCTCATAACTAACCTGTTATAACTTATGACCTGTGTATCCTCTTAATGTATATGTGATGATACCGTCGATTAGAGGACAGTGAATTATCGTTCGGAACAGTGATGCATAAAACAAGCATGAACAGCCTAGAGTCCATATCGGTCCTGCTTCCTGACTAGCCCTGTCTGTTAAGTCAAGAACATCAATCTCAGCCTCTGCAATATGAATCGTTTATTTCAAACATACTGGGTTTATATACCAATCAAAGAGACCACATCGTACCATAAAATAGGAAACAACATTTGTACAAGAATTAGCCAAATGTGGCTGTGAATGAGAGAGATAGTAATTAATAGACAGACCATAACTCACGAATGGTAAATCGTAAAATAATAGTTCATAGGTCAAAATAAAGCTCATAATAAGAGGGAAATGAATATGTATAGTTTAGTTATTTAACAATTATACGATAAAAATATACCCATAGTACTGGTCCATAAATGAACCCCAAAAGTTACCATTCATTATGCATATCGGGGGATAACATATCCAAAATACCACAAATGTTAGAGGTGCACGTGTGAAACTTAAGAGAACTCCCTATATGCGTCAAGTTAGTGATAAAATATCGAAATGCGGTGAGACTATGATTTATGAACCACCTTTGAGCGACTCTAGATTGAAGTTAGAAGTGTTCACCTAATAAACAGGACCACATGAGGGTTATAAGTCTGTGTGAGGATTTCGAATTGTGATTTACAGTTGACGGTTAAGGTTAGGAATTATATTAAAGGTTTTCATCACGAACTGACATCAGCTATAATGCCAAAATCCTATTTTGCCAAACTGACGAGTGAATTTTGCGCCAAAATCCGAGACCTGTTATCTTATACCTGATTGGTCCGTCCATAAATTATAGTCTCGCCCAAACTGCCAGTCAATATACTATTTATCAATAATTACGTTATTGTGTAAATAAGTGTATACTTTCGTCACCTGTAGTGCAACTGACTTGTCCATCTAACAACGAAGGTGTGAATATGTTTCACATCAGTTCGATTTATTTCACTTTATGGCTGCAAAACGCATCTTTCACAAATAGAGCACATTTAAAGGCCAGCAGTATCTGACATCAACTGTCCTTAAAGTATTGCCTGTATATGTTTGAACCACCAAGTAAGCAAATTATTTTAAACCTTTAATTCTACAAGTTAATCCTTTCGGTGAGACTGTAAGTTGTAGACGAATCAATTAGATTTAAGACGGTGAAACTTGGATTTTAGAGCATATCACACTCATCCATATGGCTCTACGTGACGTCATTTCGTGATTAAAATTGTATTCCCAACTTTAACTCTTAACTCTACTTCTTGACCTTAACTCTTCACACTAATTTATAACCCCGTTTTAATACAGGTAAGCGGCCAAAGTTCTTCACGGTCACTTTGGTATCACTCAAAGGTCATTCATTAATTATTGTTTCGATATTCTTCCCTCTCAAATCATATCCTTTATATCTAATATTTGTTGCTATAACCGACACTAACACTTCTACTGCTTTATTATTCGCTTTGATAACTTCATCTTGTGTTGATATGGTGTGTCAACTTGAGCCGATAAGAATTCGGCTAACGTTCTATGTCTCACACAAGTGACTGACTACACACTACGAAATTAGTTTAACTATGAGCATAACTTAAACAAGGAAATCTGATACGAGAAAACTGATCTGTGTTAGCTGTTGACTGGACTTCTTCATATGTTTCATAGATAAAAAGGCCAATTTTTAACTTATTTATTTTGCAGTTTCACTTACTGTGCTCACAATACATCCTACATTATTGCTGGTATTCCTTTTAACTTGAATAACAAACTTCTTCTTGTCTTTTCATGAAAAGTATGAGCTATTCTATCTTTATTGAATGTTGGCTAACAATCAAAGATCAGGTAGTTCACCGGTTAAAACGAAAAATTCCAAGTACCTGACTGAATCCTGCATGATTATCGTGATCAATTGTTAGAGACCTTAGATGACATGGCTCAAAATCGTTTGCAATGAAGCAGATGCATAGATTTCTTGTCTCCCCCCCTACAATTCCAAGCTCTTGAATTCCTCACAATGTTTTTGTTTTTACTAATTTGTATTTTCTTAAATGGTATCTTCGATCCATTACCTTTTCTATCACTACTCATATTGTTGCCAGCTCTAATAATTTGGGATTTCTCTTGACATTTTCATTTCTCTATTCTAATAGGGTTCGACAACTATAATCGATGCATATATGTACTAGGTTTTAAGTCGCAACGGATTGACTGGTTCAAAATCTGTGTAAGTTCATAGCGCTTACAATATTAAGGACATTTCTCTGTAACCTACCATTAACCTTTTCCTCCCATAGAATAAGTGATGGGAACTAAGAATCAATCTGGACTAGTAGCTTTTACGAGTTTACAAGGGATTTTTAGACGTCAAAGAAGCTTTACCCCACCTGAACCACTAAAATGTAGAATACTGTTTAAATCGGCACCCAAATCTTGCAAATCTCCTTTTTGGGGTGACAATAATATATGTACATGCATTACTTGGTGACATATGTCCAATAAATTATATTCTCCCTTCATTGTATTATGTTAAAAGCACATAATAGTTTTTCTGTGGATAGTTCACGTAAATCAAAACTTCAAAGAAATTTTCACTAGCAATCACGTTAATTACAGTAGTATGTGTATAAATTTCACACACGTGGCTAATTATGATTTCAATTTAATAGTTGAAAAATGGATACATTTCAACTCAAAACGTTATTTACAAAGCTAAATATTGCCTCTAGAGGTTGAGAGCTATTCAGTTTTATTCACTGTAGATCGTTAAAAATATAAAATCAGAAGCTTTCAAGCTTTCATGAAAATTATCTGCTTAGATCGACTAATAAACCCTGTTTTTGATGGTCACAAACATAATCTAAGAGAATGCATTAGAATCCGCAGTTTGTAATAATTCAACGAATAAACATCAAGATTAAGAAACAGAAAATAGATGGTGTCTTCCAACCTATTTCAAGCTTCATAAATATATTTGTGTGTGTTTCAAAAAAGAGAAGTGATTTAGCACTTGTGATTATCTTTGCTTTTGTGTACTTGTTGCATCAAAAACCATTCTTGGCCTACTTTAATTCGAAGCATTTCGGTTAAGGTTTGAAATTTTGCTAAACTTTGTCCTGTGGTACTTTCTTTCCCGTCGATTCTGACACTTGTGTTTGTATTGTTTTAAACCTTCTTAATCTGGTTACAATGGTTGGCAGTACTTATAAATGTGGACAACCAAATTGTTTATTCCCCGTGTGGGAAGGAATGCAATGCGATAAGTGCAAAAAGTGATCCCATAAAATGTGTATCCGTTTAAGTCCCAACACATACAAAAGATTCTCGAAGCTTAACTTGAATTGGATTTGTATGTTTTGATGTACAAATAAACTATGAGCCTCTTAGCTTTAGCCCACAAGAAGAAATATGGTTGTTGCGCTGGTAACACGAGTACTGACAGTGAAAAATGTATCAGTGTAGTACGTGATTGACAGAAAAGCAAAGTCTCCGTTGAAACTAACAGGAAGTGAAGTGCCACTTGATATCGATATGGATGATCATGCTTCTATAGTAGAACTTGAAGACCCGGATAAAACCGTCACCGTCCCTAATAGTTCCTATGTGGCTGTCCTAAGTGACGAAAAAAGGACGACAGTACAGAGACAAAGAAGTGAAAGGAAAAAATCTATAAGTAGCACCCACTCGGTTAGCAAGTCATTGGTGAACTTCCATTCTGAGTCACAAAATACACTATTAAAGTCTGGTAGTAAGGCAGAACTTCACCCTAGTGTGGCTGAGAAGAATTCAATCTCATCGAATATTATTAAGCAATTTGCTAGAACCAAACGATCCTGATCCCAGAATTAGACAGGCGCGTAAGTTGGAAAAGCCCGGAGAATTTATCGATAGCATCTTTCTAGAAAACTCCAAAGGATTTCATGTCAAAAAGTTGACAAGAATAGATAAGAAGACCGAAGACGGTGTTGAACACCGACCATATAGACTCCTTGAGGTGATCCTAGGGTCGGGGAAGCAACGTGATCTCCTGTAAAGTAGCGCTATTAGTCACGACAATACTGACATTCGAGTAAGACCTGATATGTTTCTAGAATAAAAAAGGAAAACGGTACTAGCAGAACCAAAAACTCGTCGAAAAAATGGTGAGGAAAATCCCCGCTTAGTGGGTTTTCGAACAGTCAGATCTTGGGAACGGATGATACCGAGGCCTGTGTGGGTAAGTCGTTCTCCCTAGGAGTTTTATATGCAAATGCTCGTAGTCTAAGGAATAAATTCTATGAACTAGGAGCATTAGTAGACAAATTAAGGCCACCCATTACAGCTGTGATGTAAAATTGATCCGTCCATGAATTCGACACTACTTCAAAATTATCCGGATACCACTACCTAAGAAGCGATAGACATAGATGTAGGAAAGGTGGCTTCTTTTTATACATAACCAATAATATACGCATCCGCTCCTTTGCTTGCGAATCCCATGACGGTGAAACTTGTGAAGCCATTAGCTATGAGCTCACTATCGGATGCTGTACATTTATACTCGGTGTCATCTATCGCAGTCCAATCTGCTTAGCTGATGACTTTATTTCAGAACACATTCAGTTATGAAGTGCAAATAACAGATGCCTGATATTAGGATACTTTAATGCACCTGATATTGATTGGACTGAGATGGCCAAGGTAGGATCTTTAAACTCCTTTGGTAGTAGGTTTCGAATAACAGTAATGGACCATGCATTAGTACAGCATTTATCGGAACCATACGTTTTGGTTCAAACCAAGGTTCTTCTTTGTTATACTTGATAATCACTTATGCGACTGAGGATATTGCCAATCTAAATATTTTTCCACTGTTAGCGAATAGCAATCACGCTGTTTTGTCATTCACGTTTAGAGCTTGTTACATGATATGTGATCAGGTTAAGCCTAGCCCAAATGTATGAAGAGCTAACATGTCAGTCATTCAGGGGTGTGTTGCTAAGACAGATCGGTCAGTAGATACTAGCTCATCAGTTGAAGAAGCACCGTCTATATTTAAAGGCAAGTTTGTTTCAGTCATGTCCTTGTTCAAAACATGCCTGGTTCCAAGGAGATCGAATAACTATCCACCATGAGGAACTAAACAAGTCAAGGAACTTCTTAGATGTAGAAAAAGACATTAGAAAATGTTCATTTCTACGAGCTTAAAGCAGTACAGATCCAGCCATTGTACAACCAGGAATGCTTGTAAAGCCATAACAAGTAAGACTAGACAGTTATATGGAAAACAATTGATTAGGGATTGTAAAAATAGTCCGAAACGGTTACTATCGTGTATAAAAAGGTGAACTCAGAGAAGTGATGGATTTTCATCACTTTTGGTACAAGAAAGTTAGTTGATATTGGCAAGAGATGATTCTGAAAAAGCTGAAGCTTTATCAGAATATTGTAGTAAATTTTTTTCTATTAGCGATTAGGAACGACCAACGATTCATTGTGATTGGAGTGGCTTGTTAATGGATCCTGTAGTCATTGACAAAGGTACTGTCTTAGGACTACTTCAACATCTCAAACTCGATACATCCAACGGTCCTGACGATATTCATCCTGAAATTATGAAAGCCCTATTGAATGTAATTGCTGAACCAATAGCCAAACTGTTTGATACGCCTCTGCGGCAGTCCAGACTTCCGAGAGGCTGGAAAGGCGCAATAATTAGTCCGATGTATAAGGTGGGGAGTAGATATTTAGTTAGTAACTATCGACCCTTTAGTCTAACCAGTGTAGTTGTCAAACTAATAGTAAACATTATTCAGATGGCTGTTATAAACTTCATTTCCGTTGCTATCTGACTGGTCTTTCCGGTCTCCCACATTGTCCGGACGTTCCATGTACCCATAAAAATTGTTACTCTGGTTGTCAGAAGGGACATTGGTCTCGTGACTTTCGGAAGAACTCAGTCTTCACCATGAGGCGTCATAACTCTCCTAAATGAAGACCTCCAAATATCCAGGGCAGCGTTTAAATGGTTTGAATTATTTTTCTGGTCAGCGTTGTTTGGCGAGTTGGTTTTTTACCGGATGGGGTCGCTAACCCCATGCTTAACCCTCCTCCTTTACACGGGCTCGGGACCGACTGTAATTCTAGAAGAGCTACAGGTGGACTTGAAATTCAAGAACAGATGGATAGATTACTTTGAGGAACTCCTGAATAGACCAGATCCATTGAATCCACTGGACATCGAAGCAGCACACACACAACTTCCTATAGATGTCAATCCACCAACAACGAAAGAAATCAGGGTGGCCATCAGACAAATCAAGAGCTGGAAAGCAGCGGCACCTGACAATTTAACAGCTGAAGCACTGAAGTCAGACATCGAAGTAACTACAAACATGCTCCACCTTCTATTTAAGAAGATTTGGGAGGATGAACAAGTGAGAACGGACTAAAATGAAAGACACCTCATCAAGATTCCAAAGAAACGAGATCTGAGCAAATGTGAAAACTACAGAGGCATTACACTACTGTCAGTACCAGGGAAAGTCCTTAACATGGTGTTGCTAAGCCGGATGAAAGATGCAGTAGACGCCCTACTTCCAGATCAACAGACTGGATTCCGTAAAGATCGGCCGTGCACAGACCAAATTGCGACACCACGAGTCATTGTCGAACAATCAGTTGAGTGGGACTCGTCACTATGCATCAATTTCATTGACTATGAGAGGGCGTCTGACAGTGTAGATAGGAGAACATTATGGAAACTTCTTCGACACTACGGAATTCCTGAGAAGATTGTCAATATTATCCAGAACTCATACGACGGACTACAGCCCAAATTCGTGCATGGAGGACAGCTGATAGGTGCATTCCAAGCAAGGGCCGGGGTCAGACAAGGCTGTCCACTCTCCCTCTTCCTTGTTCTTCTGGTGATCGACTGGATTATGAATACCTCGATATCGTAGAGGAAACACGGAATACAATGGACAGCTCGGAACCAATTAGACGATTAGGACTCCGCAGTTGCCCTAGCCCTACCACCCCATACGCATGAACAAATGCAGATGAAGACAACCAGTGTAGCAGCAAGCTCTGCATCAGTAGGTCCCAGCATACACAAAGGAAAAACCAAGATCCTCAAATACAACACGAAGAACACTAACCCAATCACACTTAATGGAGAAAATCTGGAAGATGTGAAATCTTCCACCAGAAGTGAACTCTAAGAAGTGTGGTGATACAATTAAATAACCATGCTGATTCGTATCACCACACAATACGTGGATTCATGTTACCCAAAGTAATAACCTATAAAGATTTAGGAGTCATAATAAGCAGAGACCTCAAAACTACGATAAACTGTAAGGCTACTGCTGCAAAAGGCTACAGGGCTATTCGTAACTTTTTTCAGTATTTGGGTGAAGAAATGTATAGATTATTATGCCCGACTTTCGTGAGACGGCATTTGGAATATGGGATTCAAGCAGAGAGTCCTTGTTTCAAGTATGAGATTGATATGCTGGAACGAGTCTGGCGAAGAGGGGCTAAAATGGTAGGAGGTCCCTCTGGCCTACCTTATGAAGACAGACTAAGACACCTTAACCTATTTCCGTTATCTTACCGTAGAATTCGGGGTGATCTAACATTGACTTATCATATACTAAACGATGACCTTGGTATTAATGTCTTATCTTTTCCTTACATCTAGGACTGATCATGTGAGAGGATATTCTAAGAAAGTTCAGAAACCGAAATCAAATCGCCTAGGTCTGGAATGTCACTTCTCTCAACGAGTAGTGAATTATTGAAATTCTCTACTGGGACACGTAATATCAGCACCTTCTGTTGATATATTCAAAACGAGACTGGACGCCCATAGTGTTTCGAACTACAAGGATTAATGTAGGTCGATAGGCCTCCTATCTTTATTAGTGAAAACTGAATTAATCCATAGAAATTACTTTTTTATTCACATCAATGTTGTTGACAGTTGGTCAGCTTACTTTCACTTAGACAACTCTGTTTCTGCTATTAGCCCTAAGAAAGTGCATGCCTCGATTTATCATTGCCCTTTCAAAAACTAATTAATTTACTACAGTTCGTACTGGCTTAACTGTTTAACATGGATTATACATACACACACTGCACTTCTGATGCAACATACCCGAGCTTCCAATTTTGGGGAAATTTTGGGGGAACTCACGAAGTCAAATGACCTACACCAATGTTTAGGGAACTTTGGGAAAATTTTGGGGAATTCTGGGGAAATTTTAGGTTTTGTGTCTCATTTCCCCAAAATTAATTATAGCGGCTTCCCCAAAATTGGCAGCTTGGATAGGAAGTCACGAAACGAACGCTATGTATTGATAAAGGTACTCTGAAGTCATACGATAGTGAATCAGACAGGCTCCATGAAGTTAATATACAATGACTCATCATAAAATTTTGAGTAGACAGTTCGGCGTATATTTAGGCGAAAAATAGACCACGATGAAAAAATAAGCCTTTAGAAAGCCAGGATATCACATAAAAATTACAGTAATTAAAAATAAAATCTTACAAAAACGGATCATACGATTTCCATGAAATTGCTCTCACTCTGATATTGTAAACTATCTACAGAAAAAAACCACACGTTTCTATCATACTGTAAAACGCGGGGCTGTGGATCTTAGGCAGTTATTATTTAAAACAACTAGATGAATTGTCTGACTACAATGAGAATAAACAAATGCCTAAAATGTCTGAGCTAATGTAACATCGAACTTTGAGTATATTTGTGTCTATTCTGTAGGTATATTGCGCGCTACTATGTGTATGCTAGTAGTATGGCAAAACGAGTACATCGAAGTTTGAGACTCCCTTCCAAATATCAAGATGCCGTAACAGACAGTCAACTCTTTACTCATCGTACTAGGAATATGTGATCTAGATAAAGCTAACGCTAGACTCGCTATAAGTGAACTATATTATAACACAACTATTTGAGGTTATGAATGGTTGGTGGGTCCCTCGACATGGGCTTCTGGTTAACCTCAATCAAATCTGTCTGACACTTAAAGAGACTTTGAGTTACATAGCAAGCAAAGTCTGGCCATTTTCTTAAACTTGTTACGAACATCTCCGTAAAAGCTGCAGAGCTTCAGGATATACTTGCAGGATTATCGAGCTTAGCCAAATAAACGGGTTTCCAACAAATGTTAAAAGGAACTCTATACCATTAAAACTGAAGGCACTCCTGTGTTCACAACACCCAAGAGATCCGCCCCTGATGAACTTGAAAAAAATTAGCTACATCCTGCAGTTCATCATTATCCGTCCATCTGACAGTCAATAGACATCATTTCTACACACGGTGACGAAGAAAAATTAGTGTGACTGGAAGCATAGTGGAGACTACAGAACTCTCAATCTTCAAAGTGTGCCAAATGGCTACCGGTTTGCTACTTAGTATTACACATACAATATTTCGCAAGAAGTCTGCAAGGTATGATCATATTTACTAAAATCCAATAATCCAGGGGATATTAACGTATACCAATGACTACGGGAGACATTTGTGTGAGTGCTATCTTAAGGATCGTTTGAGTTTGAGAGGATATCTTTTAATCTGAGGAGCAAGATGAAAACGTTTCAAAGTTTTGTGTCTCTGTGTCTTTGAAGACGTCTTCGCCTTGAGACCGGCATAAACAGATCTTTAGAAAACTTAGGTTTCCGATATTCTAAAGGTGCGATTTTGTTGAAAATATTTATGATGTTGTGATAAGATATGTTACTTAGTGTGTCGGTATTGTTTACAACAAAGAAGATTCCCCTAATCAGTGATTCTTGGATAATTTTAGAAGTTTTTTCAATCGACCTTACGATAGTTTCTACAAAGTGTAACAGTTTTATGCCTACCGGTTGTAGTTTTCATATTTAGGCTACATATGACAATGTTATGATCACTACCTGGGGACATTTTTTTCAATATACACAGTGTTAGGGTGAGGCCACAGGTAAAAACTAAGTCCAAGATATTTTGATGTCTAGTGGGGCTACTGGCACACTGAATCCACTGTCCACGCTCTAGACATTCGACAAATGATTCATAACGTTTCAGCGCCTTGACTGGAAACCAACAGAAAAAATGTGGGTGTACAATGTCTCAACATTTAATCGTAGCAAGCAGCTCTTGTCAATGACAAACCCTACGCTTGGTCGTGAATGATATGATGCTGAAGAAATTCTGAGAAATATGGGCTTTCCTGGCCAACGATATCAACATAGATAAGAATAACCAAATAATATTCCACAAACTTTTAATGTAACTCCAAAGTCCATGGTGATGATCAACATGTCAGTTGTTTGTACTTATATCAATGATATCTAGAATTCGAACCATAGATTTTCGAAAACTCTTTACCACGATCCCTGTGGCAGGTCGAAGATTATTTTCACAATAATATGTGATTTCTGCAGCCTCCAAACAGCTCATATTCCAGCGAAGATTTCTTCCTTTTAGTAGTTTTCATGGAGTCTCTCGTGACGAAATGTTTAGCAATTCTATATTGCAGTTTAAGTGTACCTACTGCCCTCTTCAGTTCATTAAATGTTCAAGCAGCAATCGAATTAATGGCAATTTTCGATGTCCTGACGAAATTTTCTGCCTGACCATTGAAACAAGGGTGCCCATGAGCAGTGAACAAATGTTTGCACCTAATACCACTCAACCAGGTAATCAGTGCGTCTGCAATGAAATGAATGCGGCTGTCAGTCAATAACACCATGGGAACCCCTTCTCAACTAAACACCTTTCTTAATGCTTGGATTTAAGTCATAATTTGGTGAAGTTGTGGAACAACTTCAACGGCAACAAGTTCACAGTATTTGCCAAGAAATAGACCATAATAGTTGTCTGCCAGGCCTCAGACGATACTGGTCATATAGTCCATTTCGAAGGATGATTTTTAAACCCATGGTATCCTTCGCAATGGTTTGCTGTACGATATATATTTGCATTTATCTCCGGCCACCAACATATGAGCCTTGCCGAGGACTTCATTTTCTCAACACCTAAATTTCCACTATGAAGATCTTTAAAGACAGATTTACTCAATGAAGGAGGAATAACAACACGGTCATTTAAACACAAAATATCATCAGGAGTAGTTAATAACTCATCCCGCTTTGAAAAATAGACAGGAAATCTACGTTTTAGATTAGCATTCCAAACTTTCAGTACAGCATTGAGAGTATTCCGTGCCTGTAGGCAACCGTCGTGCTAGTGATAGAAGAAACCAGGTTAGTAGTGAGTAGGTATTTATTTAGATCGTCGCGCAATCGTACCTGTTCAGACAAACTAAGCTCTTCAACATTCAACATGAGGTAATAGGAAATATAATGCCTATACAAAATAAGGAAGTGAGTGAATACTTGAATTCCATTGTTTTGATATATAATTAGTTGTTTGAAAACAACTCTTAACCAATCAACCCAAGCTGTTACAAATACATTCAAAGTATCGAGGAGTTTCACTGATGAGATCTGGATGTCTCACCGGTAACGGTTGAATTAACAAACAATCTTAAGTAATAACATGTCTATCTTGTAATGGTTGTCGAGAAGTGTAGTCAACGTGTTGAATTTGTTTGGCACTCCTTTGCTGAACCGTATAGTAATAGGCACTCAAAACAACACTCCATCGGTGAACCATAGCAGCTGAGGAAGATGCTAGGGATTTTTCGGGATGGTAAATTAACTTTGAAGCATCATGATCAGTAACGATAATGAATTTTTTCCGAATAAATATTTATTAAGTCTTTTAACAGCCCAAAACAAAACTAATGCTTCTCGCTGAGTTTGTGAATAATCTTGATCATCAACATTAAGTTTGTGTGAAACACATGTTACTGTTCTACCATTCTGCTCCAAAACCGCACCAATACCTACAGGTGAGTAAGCTCGGAGAACAACATCATTTCGAAGAAACTTTAGTAGACTTTGTAAGCATGAATCTTGTTGCTTACCGCATTTGAATGAATTAGATGTCAGTATATTAAATAAACAATCAGCATGATAGGAAAAAATTGAAATAAAACGGGAATAGTGCTGAAGAGCACCCACTAGTGAACATTGTTCTGTAAGGTTTTCCGGAGATAGCGACCTTGTCAATGGAGTTAGTCGCTTCATATCTGGATCAAAACCATTACTGTTAACCAGATGTAGATCACTGACATAATTGATGTATGTCGAACTATTGAGAGACTACTTGAGTTAGACGGGAATAGTATAGCGGACCAGCTAACTTAGAAGTCACACCTCACGGTCAGCACCCAACATGGATTACCCTTTCATCGTATTAAGGTGCAATCGTCGCCTTGAGTACCGTATAACACAAGGTACGTTATTACAGAAATAACGTAGTAAAAGTAGGTACAAGAAAGAGATTTCAACTACCACTGCATGAGTCAATCCACGGCGTGCGAGTAATTGATGCGCGTTGGTTGCCCTTGAACTTAAAGAGGATCAATGAACCGTCCGACATTTAGTGACTCGATCGTCGGATGATTCGTTTAGGACCCAGTGGCATTTCACTGACCCTACATAGATATCCGAGACATTCAAAACTAGATACACAATTCCAACACTTACTAGGACTCACTTTAATATTCTTCTCAATTAAACGACCCAATAATGTAAAAAGTCGCCCATCATGATCTGCTTTATTAAAAACTGTAACGACCAAACTGCCAATACTCGGTTAGGATATAGAACTAACGAACCAATATTTATTACATAAGATCAGACTTCCTTCTTCTGTATAGCGTAAAAAGCGTTTTTGAGTTACTTGCATCAAATCATATCAAAACACAGACTGTTTTCAATCTGAATGGCTCTAATTTAAGGAAAACAAATCATATCAAAAACAAACAATACTTCAAACGTTACACCCTGTGTTTTACAGTCAAGGGTTTCTCTAACAAAGTAGGGTACCAAACAACAAAAAGAATAGTTAATAAACAAGACTTTGTTACCTAAGGATCAACAAAAATATACCCAACAAGATGGAGTCAGTTGTCTATCTGCAAAGATTCTGGTGACCTTTCCAAGCAGAAAAAGTTTGGCAGTCATCCACTGAATCACACCGTGACATCTAATGGGGTCAAACATAGCCTTATTATCAATGGTCCGGCAACATGAAACAGTAAATTATGGAATAAAAGATATGTCTTCAGCCGGGGCCACATGGCAGAAGCCCCGAAAAGGAAGACCGAAGAACATAAAGTCCAGTTAAAAGAGGCCTGAATAAAGGTTAAACTATAAGACAGGGGAAAGGAACAAATAAACGACAATACTGTCTTATGAAATGCTGTGGAGGGAGTTTCAGCGTTTTCTTTCCGTTACACATATGTTAACACTTTTCACTAGATCCCTCTGAAGCGCATTTTTACTTAAAGACCCCTAATATTAAACATTTATCATCCGGGGACTAAGCAATAAATCAGTCCAAATATACTTTAGTCATCTTAGGATTCAGGTTGTCATGATTGTCATTGATTTCTAACAGCAAATATTTATAGTATGAAATGGTTCAACACAGTACTCTTGAATTCCCTGAAGAAAACTCGTTTTTTTCGCAAAGAACTCAAATTACCATCCCCGTATCTAATATTAGATGGCAATGAT